TTTTTTTTTTTTTTTTTTTTTTTTTTTTTTTTTTTTTTTTTTTTTTTTTTTTTTACGTACATGTAGCATCAGTCGGTGATGATTCGTGACAAGTGGGTCCGGCCAATTAATTTTTTTTAGCGGCTTGCACGTCGCACGTCGCCGCAAATTAAATTCGTTTTGCACGCGTATACCATCTTATCATCTCTGAAGGGTAATTAAATTAATAATAACCGAGAGGGTACGAAAAAAAAAAAAAAATAATAATATTGAGTCGGGCCTTCGAAATTAGCGTTAACGTTAATTGGATCCGGAAAAACAATGACGGCTCTCGTGTTTTTCCTTCTGGCTTGCATACTGGACGTCCACTGTACCGCATGAAGTTCTCTTTTTCCTTCTCGTCTGTGTTCGGTAACTAAAAAATAAAAAATAAAAATATGAACTTTTAACAAAACGTGTGTTTGTACACACGTATGCATCTCCAAATTTAGACTTTGGTGGACACGTGCGTGTATGCGTGTGTGTGTGTGTGTGTGTGTGTGTGTGTGTGTGTTAAGGCATTATTTTTTATCCGCCACCTGTTCATCTTCCGTCATTTGTTCCATTAACTTTTTTTTTTTTTTTTCTTGCTTTTTGTTTCACTTTTGTCACACTTTTTTTGGCTAAGCCTACGTGTCTCATTTAAGTTATCAGAATGTCGGGGAGAAATTTGGTCAGTTCACCAGGACGGTCTCCGAGAACAGTTTGTGAGTATAATAAATTTCAAACAAAAACCAACAACAAACAAAAAAGCAAGAGCCTTGAGTCGCTTTATCGTGGTTGGGGCGAAAAGAAACTTTGCTTCGAGGCTTGAGGAGTGCGAAAATTTATTGCCCGCGCTTTTTTTTCAACTCGTGTCTTCTCGTGCGTTGTGGATATTTATGCTTTGCTTGTAAAAACAAACAACTGGTTTGACGGATGTGGATTTTAACGAGATTTGACTACTACGCGGTTTTCCGGGTGTTCTTGATAAAGAATCGTAGATTTACGTTTTCTATACTTTGGAATTTAAAATTTTTTTTTCTACATAATGACTATAGTTTTTAAATTGTTATTTGTCAATGATTTGTTTTTTTTTTTATGTTGAAGTTTTTATCGTCTTTTTATTGTTAGTCTTTGTTCAATTTGATGTTGGAATGCAGAGTTGTCTTACCGGTGTGATGATAACAAAATATTACTAGTTTTTGAAGTATGAGTACCATTTGCTTACACTATTTATTTTTACACTAAATCATTGGTTTTAAGTTTTCATCGCTATGCTTTACAGTATGATTGAACTCGATGGATTTAAATACAAAATTTTTTAAAATTAATATTAATTTAACATCGTGCAATCGATGCATTTCGAAAGTAAGGAATAACCTACGGTATTTTTCTGCTCGAATTAATTAAGAGATTTTCTCAGGAAACGATTGAAACAAACATTACGGTAAATTTAAACGAGATTTTAATTAATTAGTCCATGCTCCACAAAAACTGAGAAAATAATTTTAAAAATAAGGATCTGGAATTTAAACGATTTATTTCACGGGGAAAAAAAATAAAATAAAATGCCATCAACTTTTTGCAAGTCTTGAAACATTTGCATATAATCAATTAGCAACGAGACAACGCGCATGTCCAATTTGTATAAGATCCTTGTAACACATAGTAACTCGTGTAGGTGACGACGATGTTGCCTCGGGTCCTTGCATATGCTCGTTTACGAGTTCAATCCTCCGATTATTTATTGGCCGCGCGATTATCTTGTAAAAAAAGTGAAAACACAAAACTCCCAGGTCAGGGTTCCCCTTTTCATTTCACCGCTTTTGGATGAAAAAATAATTTTATTATTTTTCTCATTTGGGTCGAGCGTTAAAAATAAATTACTCAAATTAACAGCCAGATATTGTTGCATTTAATTTTACGTAACGACGAGATGTGCGAAATGTTTGGTTATACAAAGGTAAATCTTCTACGAATCCTATCAATTACGTAAAACAGCTCAAAACATTTTATCGAAGCGGTAATCGTTAAAATATTTTAGTATTCAACATATACATTAAAAATCAACTATGTCAATGCACTCGTAGTCGTAAAAATAACAAGGCACGTTGGGATGAAAACTCGGCACTTTCACCTTAAAATTTTTTACCCACGATTAATAACAGTCATAATTTAGATGTATTTGCAATTAATTTTTTTTTTTATCCTTCCGACGACCACGTATGCGTATACATATAAAGCCAAGGTTATTCGATGGAAAATCCAAGGAGCCGTAACATCTTGACGTGGAGATTAATAAAAGCTGATACGAAATCAAAACCATAAAACACTTTTGCAAAAGAAATCGCACAACTTGTGGGAAATTTATCCTCGAGTTGATTCAACGCGCGTTTAAAAAAAAAAAAAGATTGACCTCTTGGTACTCTCTAATTTTCGTGGTCTCGCAAATTGCACTCGGCAGCCCAACAAACACGTGCCATTCAAAAAATTTTCCATCGCGGAGCGCTATTGAGACGTACCCATAAAAATACCCGGCCAATCCACCGCGTAACGGAGCGCGCAGGTGTGTCCCGTCACGTAGAGGGAAAAAAAAAAAAAAAAAAAANATAATTGATTCCCTAACTTTGTTATTATGCGTATTTTTTCTTTTTTCCTTTTTTCAATTGACGCGTGTGTGCGTGTGTGCGTGTGCCCGACACACCGGGGATCAATTTAAATTCTCGGGTCCCGAAAAAGTTCCCAGATTACTCAATAAACTGGCTCATAACTCTCCCGCACCCGAGACTCGTATCAACATTATCATCAATTATTAATGCGCGCCTGCAGGCTCCCTCTTTTTCACGCGTCGCACATTTGAGCGAAAAGAAAAAAAAAAAAAAAAAAAAAAAAAGGGACAACACCCGAGTAAAAATAACGCCGCGAGTGTTGTGGTGTACCAGCCCCAAAACTATCAAGTGTACTTACGCATCAGCGGCAACGCAATTACACGCCCTCTCCCCTCTTTTTTTTTTCTCTGTCCTTGTGCGAAAACGCGCTCGGACAAATACAGGTTCCAAAAGACGGAGTCGGTGTTCAAGTCGACGGCCGAGAAGACAACGAGCATCCTGGGCGGCTTCGGCAGCGGGCTCTCCATGAAAATCGGTCAGATGAGAAATTCCGACAGCTTCAGGTCCCTCGAGGAAAAAGTCGGCAGTGCTTACGAGAACGTCAAGGTATACAACATACACGCATACATACATATACAATATGCTGCAATGAACCGTACATTATGCGTATATATGTGTATTTCGCTGCTCCGCCTTTGAGTTGGCAATTAGTCTTTTTGCCACTACCTACCTCTTCGAGCTTTTTTCGGGCCACGGAGATGAAGAAGAAAAATGTTTTTATTTCTGCTCGGGCTAATGGGCTCCTCTCGCGATATTATTATTTTTCCTGTTTTTGTAAACCGTATACACCCCAAAAGTATGTACAAAAAAAATGTTGACTTGGATTTTTTTTTTTTTTTTTTTTTTTTTTTTTTTTTTATTCCAGTCAGCTGTATACCTGCAGTGGGTGAAATTTCAGTATTTATTAAGTAGTCCCTCGTACGGTTTCTCTGAGCGTTTTTGCATCCCGTTCGTTGTGCAGTGTACAAGTAGAGTCACGAGCACCAAGTTCTGTCCCAAATCGTACAGTGTGGCAAACTTATACATACACGTGTGTTCTCGGGTGAGAGAAAATAAATGACGTTGATCTTGCGATATTGAAATTATATGGTTCGTCGAAATTTGCTTGAGGTACGTGAGCCTCTTTGCAATCAACGCTAATGGGAACAGTTTTGTCTTCTTTTCGTGAAATTTTTTCAGATTATGGTGTCGAAAAAAGTTATAAAAGTGCCACGTGCATTACTTTTAGTACCCTTGGTATTATTATCACCTCCTTGCATTAAAATCAACGAGTATACAGGAAGGGTGGATGGAATAAAATGGAAATCCTTTGAAAAGACGAGGACTGGGTTGTCTATCGGGTGTTCCCCGTGGCAAATACCTGTTGCAGGTACGTGAGGAATGAGCTCGGCCGTGACTGCTTCCATCCGTATAGTAAAATAACATGAGAGGGACAAACACTGCACTACTGCCACACATACATACAGAGTGTAAGTTACATGTCTGCGAAAAGGTTAAAGAGGAGAGAAAGGGGCAGGGGAGGCGGAGGGATCACTGGAATACTTTCGAATTCGTGATTTTATATCTCGGGGGAGGGTAGAGGGGAAAAAAAATAAAAGGACCATCTCTCTCGGTGGGCGCGCAAGGGGCACCCGAAAGATACAGCATGAGAAACGATTTAATTGGCCACCTCCTCCTCATTCTCCTCCTGGTCTCCCCCCCCCCCC